GAGGAGCACTGTATCTAGGAGATATCGAAGGGAATGATCCTGAGGCAGCAGTCAATGCAGATGCAGTGAAAAGGTACTATGTCTAGACCTCCTGTGGCGATGGCTTTTGTGTAATTGAGATGACGAAGGCTTTCTTTTCTGCTACCCCAAACACTATCAACCCTTCGTAAACCCTTTGAGCCGGTTACGCTTCTTTGGTCACCCTCTTTGGAGCCCGGAAGTACCAGCGGAAAAGAAGAAGAAAAGAAAAGAAAAGAAAAAGAAAAGAAAAAGAAAAAAAAAGAGAAAAAAGAAAAAAAAAGAAGAAAAGGAAAAGAAAATATGATGGAAAAAGAGAAAACGAAAAAAAAAGAAAAGAAAAAGAAAATATGATATGATGAAAAGAAAAAGAAAAAGAAAAGAAAAAACAAAAACAAAACAAAAACAAAAACAACAAAACCAAACCTTCATGAACTACGTCTGACTTGATTCCGAAAGGATACGTAGGCAGCCTCTATCTGGGGTTCAGTCACACCAAAACAAAAATTCCAATTTCCCCAAAATGAAACTGGGGCAGATGATATGATAGTTCGGCCATGAATCCGCCGAAATGGTTCCAAAGTTGTAGTTCCGCCCAAAATCCTTTTTACCCCAAAACCTTGTCCAAGTCCTTCCGATCAATTGGCAAAGGCAGGGAAGTGGAAAACGTTATTGTTGGAATCTGGCACAATGCAAATTGAGAGAAATAAAATGAGAGAGTCTTATCGGTGAAAACCTTCGGGCACCATAAGGCGATGGTGAGTAGAGAAACTGAAAATGAGAGAGTCCGCTTAGTGAAAACTCGCAAAGAGCATTATCGGGCCACGGTGAGAAGAGAAATAAGAGAGGTCGATTGGCGAAAACCCGCAAAGGGCGCTGTCGGCCGAAAAGAAGACATCTCATCATTGGAAGAGTCCTGGCAAGGTTCCCTGGTTTTGAAATGCAGATCAATGGGTTCACGGGAAGTTGGAAAGTTTATGTGGGTCGGGCGTCCAGTCCAAGAAGCATGTCATGTTCATTTGAAGCCAGCATGCACCCCAGATAAGTCCTTCTTTTCCCCCGAAAGGGACGCTTCTCCTTAAAATCATATGCTTACCTTTTGCATACTTTTTCTTTGAATCCCTTTCGGTTTAACTCTGATTCCGTAACGCTTACAAAGAAAAGGTGGCAGGACCGGCTTCACAGGGCTCCGCCTGGTCAGAGTCGAAGAAAATACCCAGCCTCAGCGAGTGCGTCAGGCCAATCTCGACTGACCATGGTGGTTGACGCTTTCAAAGCAAAAACATTGGAAAAGAAAGGAAGTCAAAGGCAAAGGTCCCAAGGGCAGAATAAAGTGAAAAGGCTAGAGCCCATACGGGCGAGTCATCATGAAGTCCTAAGGCTTGAACCCGGTCGGTTTGAAAAGAGATTCACCCTCAAGGCCAACAAGCAGCAGGTTCTCAACGGAAAGGGGGCCGGGATCAAGCAATTGGGATGATCAAGGCCACAAAACCAACCATCGTTTCAAGCTAATAAATTGTTCTTTGTTGAAAACAGGTTCCATTCAAGGCAACCATGCAAGAAGCAGGTGTGGCCCAAAAGAAATGAAATGTGTAAGCGCTGAAACAGCTTTGCAGCAGGAAAACGACCAAAAAGGAAGTTTCCCCCCCAAATTCTTTCATGCGTTCTGCTAAATAAAAAGGAAAACATATAAAGAGGAAAAAACAAAAAAAGGAAGAAAGGAAATAAAAATGAAAATCCCAAAAGAAAAACAAATCATGATAGCATAGGATCCCATTCGTTAAATCTCCCGGCCAAAAAACCGTGGAGCTTTTTCTTTCCAAATACCGGCCAAAAAAAGTCGACCCAGATTCGACTACGGTGAGTAAACGACTCGACGACAGTCGAAGTCACCTACACGACTAAGGCCGAAGATCTCCCGGCCAAAAAACCGTGGAGCTTTTTCTTTCCAAATCCCGGCCAAAAAACCGAGGATCTCTCGGCCAAAAAACCGAGGAGCTTTTTCTTTCCAAATCCCGGCCAAAAAACCGAGGATACGTCTACGGCCAAAAAACCGTCGGAACCTTTTCTTTCCAAACTCCCGGACCAAGAAACCGACGGATCTACCCGGCCAAAAACCGTGGAGCTTCGTACTTCCAATACCCGGCGAAAACCGAGGATCTCCCGGCCAAAAAACCGTGGAGCGTTTTCTTTCCAAATCCCGGCCCAAAAACCGAGAATCTCCCGGCCAAAAAAAAATCGCGGAGCTTTTTCTTTCTAAATCCCGGCCAAAAACCGAGGATCTCCCTACACAATCCTGATTTGCGCTTAGATATGTGTCACAACTAACTCACGAAATTTTCCTAGTGAAAACTGGGGCAGAAAATTTCGTTCGTTTGTTTGTTTTGGTATCTTAAGCAGGTCGACCTCAAGACACAAGGTATGAGATGACCAATAGAATAAATCTCAATCCAGAATCAAGAAAAGAAGAAAAGAACAAAAAAGAAATGAATTCAAATGTTAAGCAAGCAAGGGCGCGGATTGCTCAAAATCTGATTGAAGTCACAAGCTCCGTTGATCTTGTTTTGACCCAATGCTGCATGAAGAAGTAAAACACCTACAACTTGCGAACATCAAGATTCAGATCGAAGTCCACAGCAAAATCAGCTAAGACTCAAGATCAAGTTTCAAGACAATTATAGATAGGAATCTTGTAACTCATAGTTGATAGGCATAGCTAGCTTAGCTTTGATTTTCCTTTTGGTGTAATAAGGAGGTCAGCAAGCAGTAGCAGCAGCAACAGCAGTGAAATCACAGCTCTTGGTAGTCCCAGCTACCAAACCTTCTAGAACTACACTGACCTGATTCCTTTATAGCCAAGGATATGTAGGCAACCTTTGAAGCAGGGTTCGGTCAGACGGTTTTCAAAAATGCTTCTCCTGGAGTGCCGAGCTGGCAAAAATCCCTCATGTTGCTCATTTATCTTTGCCCGAAAACCCTTCGTGTCTTCGAGCAAAGAGGGGCAGCTGTGAGCATGTGATTTTTGCCTCGCACGAATTACTCCTACAGATTTCTTAGATTTAGGATTTTTTTCTTTTAGGAATTAATTGCACAATTTTCGTGTTTATTTGCATTTTTACTGTGTGCATTTTTATTTAACATAATTCATAAAAAATACAAAAATTTGCATTGCATTTGCATTTAGGATTTAATCTTATATATTTTAGATTAATTAGTAATTAGGATTTCACAAAAAAATATAAAAATCACAAAAAATGAGTTATTTTTGCTTTAATTTTTAGCTTTGATTTTGGTTAGATTTCCTTTAAATTTGGTAGTTAATTAATTGTGTCATTATTAAATAGATTGGGTAGGTTAATTTAGTTTTTAGAATTAATTTAGACTTTTAAGTTTTAATTTGAAAAAGAAAAGAAAACAAAATTAAAAGAAATGGAGGTCTTAATAAAATACCCATTGTTTTGGGCCAGCCCAAGCCAAAACCCGTTCAAAATCCCTTCCAACCCAGTCCAAACCCAAACCCCAATCTGGTCCAGCCCCAGGTCAGTCAAAACGACGTCGTTTTGTGGGTTTTAATCAGGACCGTCGAGGTTTCTTGATCGGACGGTCCTGAAGCCCACATCATTTAATATATATATGTCCAAATGACACCACCCCCCCTTCAGACCCCCCTACCCTCTCATCTCTCTCAATCTCTCACCGGACACCCCAACCCCACCGTTCACCGCCGCCCTCCGCCACCGGCCGGAAATCGTCTCCGCCGGCGGCGGGTCTCCGATGGCCACCAAAATTTCACCACCGCTGCTCCTTCACCTCCCCTTTCCAAATTCGACCCCCGTTTCCTTCAAATCTCACCCAAACGTCTCGAATATCAGATCGAAAAATCCGGCCAAAACGCAAACTCATCCAAATTCGACCAAACTTACACCCCTGACTCTCCTTAACTCCCTCTGCCCAAATATGCAACTATCTCCCTTCGAATATCACCAGAAGATTTCGAATATTAAATCGAAATTTGACCGAAAAAAACCCTAAAATGCTAAAATTGGGGATTCTGCGATTTTGGGTTATAATAACCCTTAATCATGTGTTTTCTCATGAAAACACATGATTAAGGACAGTTGTAACCCAAAAATGCCAAAGAATTTTGTCAAGAAGGGCCACCGGATTCGAGTTTGAGGTATTTTTATTTTTGTTTCTTCATTCCCTTTCCTGTGTTCTTTGATTCATGAGTTTTGTTCTCTTAGTTTATTTTGGTAATTAGGACATGCAATTTCAGTATGTTTGCCATTAATTTTCTTTAGGGTTAGTTTTTAATTCATGACTCAGTAGGTTTTCTTCTTAGTTTGATTTTTTTATCATGAGTTTTCGATTTTCTTTTAGTCCAAATCTCGTTGTTGTTCATGACTGATTCTGTTTTGGTAATGCTTTGATTTGTTTAATTTTGTTTGATTCTGTTTTAGTAATTTTGATATTAATTTAATTTCTGTTTGAATGTGCATTTCAATTTAAGTGTTAACATAGGCTTTAATTTCTTTGGTCAAACCTGTTTAGTTAGTATTTGATTTTAGTTATTAATTTTTGTTTTGATTAGTTATTCTTTGGTTGCAATTATTGATTCGGTTGTTTGGTTATAGCTGAAGGTTCCCAGCCTTTTGGTTGTTTAACCATGGTCATTTGACCAAGTGTAAAGGGGGCTGGGATTTGGTTTGGCTATGGTGGTAATTTAGAATCCAAATTAAGGGTAGTTTAGGTGTTTTACCTAAAGAATCTTTAGTTAGAAACACCTAGAGTCTTCTAGATGGGGTTAAAAGTAGAATTTCAAGAAACCTAATGCAATAACTTGAGTGACAAGTCAAAAAATGAAGGGCTAAGTAGCAAAAGGAAAATTTTGGAGAGGGACTAAAAAGAAACAAATGAACCCTTAAGGCTGCCCTATTAACTTGCCTATAAAGGCATGGTTATTGGGGGCACAATTCAGATTTTGGGGGAAGAGCAAAAGGGTAGAGAAATATAGGCGGCTGAAACACCAAAATTCACTATTCTATTGAGAAAAATCCTTAGAAATTCTTGCAATATTCATTCTGAAATAATTACTGAGCAATTGAAGGTTCTAAAGTGAGTTAAAATCAGTTGGGGTTCAGGTGTTTATTTTGGTTGGTTCATCTCTGGTTCGATTTTGATTGCTGAGTTTATTTAAATGTTGTCGCTGTTCAAATTGTTTCAAAGTTGATTATTCCTTACTTGTTCTTGGAGCTGGGATATCAGTTTGGGTCTTGAGATTGGTCTTATTGTTGCTGGATACTGTCTACTACTGCTGACTCCTGCTCCTTTTACTTTGTTCCATTTTCAGGTACACATTTGAACTCGACTCAATGTAACTTTGAGATGGAAAAGCAATGAAAACTGTTCATACGTTTGCTCCCTGAATCGTACCTGTTTGGACTGCTTTGTTCACTCCCTGAAATGTACCTGTTTGGATTGCTTTTTGTTCAGTAGTCAAACGGAGATTAAATGATATGGAGTTGTTTAACATAGTCTAATATTGATGTGTACTATACGAACACTGGACTGTATGGACTTTCATAATTGTATAACTCTTACCTTAGAATAGTATAATTCATGTTAGTTATTCACAACATTAGGGTTCATGATTTGTTTAAGCATTGTTAACTTTCAGGTTCAGGGTACTAGAATTAATTCTATAGGCACTAACAGGCATTGGTTTATGTATGATAATAAGAGCATGTTTGATTGTTTGAACTAGTTTCGTTGTTATCATTTTGGGAATCATCGCAGTTCATTGACTAAATTCGAATCTTTGATTGAGTATTAGTAGAAGTGCCACTATAGTTAGTGCGAACAGTTAAGAGATGGGTTTTGAAATTGAATAATCAACTTTCCAGCATTTGAGCAGCAAACTTAGAATTAAATTAATAAATGTACTGAATTTGGAGTTTCCCCTTTATTTGTTATCCCAGTCCATGAGTTTAATAGCTGGAACTGTTTCAGTGGATTGCATTTGGGCTAATCTATAGGCCCAGGGCTGATGGCTTTCATTTGTAGTATCTTGGGCCAAATTCAAAAATTCGAATATTGTGAATATTAAATCTGAGATTGATTTTGCAATATAGGATTTGGGCCTTCTAGTTAAGTAGCATACTTGAATTAAGAGGTTTGCCTCTTGTTCAAGTGTGGACTTGAACCGGAGCCCAAATTCCTTGACTACTTTAACTATAGCTTTAATAATATTAATTAATTAGGGCCCTTTAGAGACAAAGATAAATAGAAAATCTTAGTTTGCTTTAGGTTGGCATTTATGTGACGTGGTTCGAGACGCGTTTTCACGACGTTGCAATTCTCTTTAAAAAGAATAATAAAAGCGGTTTAAAATTAAAAAGCACATAAGTTAAAACATGTATTAAAATCAGATTTTTAGCCAATTATAATAATTTAAGCGACCGTGCTAGAACCACGGGATCCGGGGGTGCCTAACACCTTCCCTCGGGTCAACAGAATTACTTATTCAGAATTTCTGGTTCGCAGACTCCAATTGGGAAGTCGAATTTTTCCTCGATTTGGGATTCAAATTAAATCGGTGACTTGGGACACCAAAAGCCAATCCTATCCCAAGTGGCGACTCTAAAAATAAATAAATAATCCCATTTCGAATAATGTCACTTTAAATGGAAAAACTCCCTTATACATTTATCCTTCGGGGTATGTGTGAAAAAAGGAGGTGTGACAAGAACCTTTTTGTACTGTAATCTTTTTTGTAGCATTTGAACTCCATCAAATAAATTATTGATCCTTGGGTCATTCATGACAAGGATCTCGGAGAGAAGTATCTCTTGCAAACGCACTAGGCCTCGTCTTGCTGAACATGCTCTAACTTCATGAAGAAAACATTTACCCTCAAATTGGCTCGAAATATTATCATAAATAGCTCTCGCTAGAGTTGTCTTCCCTATTCCGCTCATACCCCATATTCCAACAAAGTGAACTCCATCAGACGCATAGTCTAGCATTTCGTATACTTTGCGCATCTGTAACTCCATTCCAACAAGATTTTCAGCATTGCTTGCATTTGTCTGTCCACCCAATTGAGCAATTATATCTCTCACTATTAACTTTATGGCTCTAGCTTCATGCCTGAATACCACAAAGAATTAATGCCTCAAAATTCTGCTTTTTAGCACGGTAAAAACTTCATGTACCAAAGCTACTTCTGTCTCTGCAACATAGTGGTTTAGAAACAGTTTTACTAATATTACTAGAACCCTGTCCTTTTTACAGCCTCAGTCTCAATTTTATGTGGCATTTTTCTTCGAAATTTAAGCTATGTGATTTTCACCGTGAATATGGACATACAATTTTTAGGTTTTTTGAAATAAAATTTGCATATTTGAAAACTACATAAAAAGTACTAAATCACAATACGAAACAATTTGGAATATTCAAAATGCATTCGGAAAAATCGCAGTATGACCTTCTAATTCCTCGGAAGCTATTAAGACAGTACTGATGCTAATATTGTATTTAGCAAAGTTAATTTGGGGTTTATGGTTTAGGGGTTAGGGTTCCGTGCACACTGTTAAGACACTTTTGTAACAAATGAATCAAGAGCGGAAGTATGTTATAAACGAGGACAGAGCAACGAATATGGACAGCAATTCCCCTCAATTAGACACAAAACAAGTACGTATTCAGGTTGAAATTCAAGTTGGAGATGTATATCCACCCAAATTCTCCGTAAATTTTATGAAAAGAATTTTTGTAAAAGAAAAGTATATCTTATATATGATCCATTTATATGTTTAGAGTAAATTAATTACCCATTGGCAGCCAATCAAGTTAGGAGCTTCCTCCAGTGCTGCCCTCCATTTTTGCACCTTGTCATCCTCGAAACAGGCTTCATGGTTTCTAAATGCTTCTCCATAGCTGGTTTCTTGTTTCCTCACTGTTGTTGTACTTACATCTTAGAAGACTGAATACACAATTAATTTGTCCTTTTAAATTTTTGCATTTCATGATCTTCACTAATTCATCTAAACACCACGTCGAATTAGCATAATTTTTGGAGAAAATGACTAATGATATGCGCGACTCTTCAATTGCTCTCATAAGATCTGGTGAAATGGACTTGCCTCTCTCTAGATTCTCATCATCTTTGAAGGTAGCGACATAGAGATGGTCAACTAAAATATTTTGCGTACGATCTTCACCTCTAAAAACTTAAGAAAACATCATAACTCCACCGAAACGTCTGAACAGAGGAGAAACAAGAAGAGCTCTTCTGCATCATTTTGGATATCACAATGTTTCTTTAGTTACTACTTCGTTAGATCTCTGATTAATTAGCAACAACTTGTATTTATGCAGAGGTATCTCCACTATTATAATCATATATATATTTGACTTTTATCCCTTACTTTTTCCAGCAGGCGAAAAGGCAACATATGAAAGCCGCTTAATTAATATACTCCTTTCCGTGCACAATAAGTGATCAATTTGTCTTTTTATTTTGGATTAAAACAAGTGTCCATTTATATAATCAAGAAAAAATTTACTAATTTGTTTTTCTAAAATTACTCTTATGTACGTATTCCTAAAAAGTCTTTTACTCATCTCATTAAATTATATTGCAACATTTAATTAAGGATAGTTTAGTGACACTAACTATTTTTGTCTACAATATAGTGGGTGTGCCCAAGACAAATTGGTCACTTATTGTGGATCGGAGGAGTAATTGTTATAACGCGACGATATCTCTTCAGCGTGTGAAGCAGCAGGTTTATCAAGAGGTCATGACTTCATTAATTATATTACTCCTATTATAGTAAACATTAAGGTGAGGATGTCATAACTCGAATATTCATTTAGACACCAAATATTGACTTTGATTTACTTTACAATCCCTATACAGTCCTTCTTTGTTTTTAAGTCTATCTACTTAAAAACAAATTATGGACATAAGAAAAGCAAAGTGAGCTCTATTAGTGAGATTTGGTGGTGGCGGGTGCTAGTTAGTTTTTGATATAATATTTATCTAAGACTAACTAGATAATAGTTTAAATAGAGGGGTGAAAGGATTAGATTACTTTCAGTATCATTTGATAGATTGGGCCAAATAAGCCATCAAATCAGCAACTCAATAACAATTTATCAGGTTCAAAGTTCTTAATCCAAAAAAATTATTCTCCTATTGTTTGCCATTTCGGACTGCGTGCTACAGTAAAAATGGTCTTTAGGGACGAGAAAATTGGTCCCTAATAGTCCAATTCTAGTCTTTGAAGGTCTATAGCGACCAGGAAAATCTGGTCGCCGCCGGTCGCTAAAGGCTCCGCTGCTAAAAGGCAATAACGACGAGTTGAGTAGCTGGTCCTTAAAGTATTTTTTCGACCAGTCTAAAAACACTTTTACCAACCACATTTCTAGTCCTAGACAAAAACACATCTGGTGCTTATATATTTTTAGCGACCAGCTTGTACTGGTCCTATAAAGTTTTTAGCGACCAAAAACCTGATTGTTGAACCTCTCATATCCAATTTATCACCAGAATATTATGCAATTATCAACAAAGATAATCAGCTCAATACAACATAATTATCAATAACATCAAGATTTTATATATATATATATATATATATATATATACACACACACACACACACACACACACACACATCAAGGTTAAATCACTAAGACCTTGATGCGGATTTCAATAACATGTCCAATACAAGGAGGGGGACATATGCCTTACCTCCTACATATATCTTATCATTTACATTTTACATACTACAACCATCTAAATATCCTCGCTATACAAGTTTATCTAATAATTTCAAAACTCTTGCTGGTCGCATCTTGATGTGGTATTTGTTAGTCGAAGTAAATTACTGTTGTAGGTATTTTTCATGTCTCCATTAGGGTGGTAAACTTTCGTATTTTGTGTTCAACGTCTTGCTTTTGGATATATTTGGACTTTTATCTTGTGCCTGCACATATTAACGCCACATATTAGCCAATACAACCAGGAAATAAATACAAATCTTGTACATGAAATCAAGACAGTGTACACAATTGCATAGCAGCTCAAACAGACAAAAATATTTCTTTTCTAGCACAACTCAAATACTTCACTTTCCAACTATTCATTTATATAATTGAGGTATAAAGCTTGTTCACAAACTTTAATATCACTTAAGTCATGACAAAATAACAATTTTCTCCATTCCAAAATATTATAACAATGGAGAGGAACACTCACAAATTGTATATTTCCCTCTCCTATAAAGCATGTAATTTCCTTTTTTTTTATATAGGTAACTGAAAGAGTTTTTTTTATGTAAAGAGGGGGCCAACTTTAAGAAAAAGTTGGATAGGAGTACATATAAAAGATAACTTTACAGAGTAAAGCATGTAATTTCATGTACACTCCAACTACATCCTTTTCAAAATCTGAAAGCAAGATATCAGTCAAATTGCATAAATGATAGCTCAAGATAAAGGATATTACATAATCTGAAAGGATGAAACTGGAACCATCAATGTTACTGCCTTTCTCAAAGACCACCAATCATCCTCCACATATGTCTCTATTCAGATAAAATAATTGATGTATATTTCTAACATCATT